TGTCTTATTGATTTCCTCAATAAAGCCTGGTTCTCACGCACTCGTGAGCCTTTGTTCGCCTGCTGTCACATTTACGACCTTCAAATTTTTGATATTTTTTTAATTAGTGATGTCTACAGGATCTGTGAACTCACGTATATCTTGCAGTTTGCACAGCTGCCCCGAAATGCTTAGAACTGTCCAATAACAGCATTCGCTATCTAGCTTTTGACACAGTTTGCAATTTTTTTATATTCTCAGTTCTTTCTCATGAGAAATTACTAAACGACTTGGGGGTTTTCTAAACGGCAGAAAAGCGTACGTAGGAGTACGTACTTTTACAAAGGAAGCACGGCTGAGCGGCAACACATTCTTCCTGCGAGACATCGAAAGTAATGCACTGAACTACAAAGTCAGTGACTGCCACAAAAAAATGTTTTTTATAGCAATGAGCAAAATCAAAAATCTTTGTCATTTCATTAACCACCAAAATTGACAAAAACCTGCAACGGTTTTGGTTTGCCGGCTTTTTGACCAGGTTGTTGAGATGGCTGCCCGCCTCCTTGTTGGCCACCTCCTTGCTGACCACTTTGGTCAGGCTGCGACCCACCTTGGTTACCTTGTTGGCCTCCTTGTTGACCATTTTGCTGGGCTCCTTGGGGTTGTCCACCTTGCTGATATGGTTGCTGATCTTGTTGCTGCCCGGTTTGTTGGCCACCTTGAGTAGACTGCCGATTGCCTGGTTTATCACCCTGCTGGTTATTTTCCTGGCCGCTTGGTTGTTGTCCAGCTCCTTGTGGTTTGCCACTTTGACCAGTACCTTGTTGTCCGCTTTGTTGAGGAATTGGCTGACCTCCTTGGGGACGGGCGTGCATCACAGCCAATAGTGCCCTGCAACGGAGTACAAAACAGCGTCCAGTCCGATCCAAACTTAAAAAATTTTATCCGAACCCAGTCCGACTCCGAATTCTAAAAATCGTACTCCGACCAATCCGATCCGAAAATATTTTTGGCCAATCCGAACCTACTCCGATCCGATCCGAAAAATTTTCCAAAAGAATATTACTGTACTTAATTTTATTACACATCCCTACATTAAAAAATTTTTCATGCCACGTTTTTGGTAGCAAAAAGACTTCAGAATTCACAAGCACAATTTTCTTGGGCATAATAAAGGTTACGCTAGAGGATTTACATATACAAAATTTTTTTAGGTAAATTTAGTTTTTTAGCACTATAGTGTTCTAGCAATGGGGGAGGTTAGTTATCTATCCTGACGGTCAGAAATCTGTATCAGTTTTTTTTGATGTATACGGTTCAGCCCACGGATTATCCACGTATTAGCCAGGGTCAAAAACAGGGAGAGAGAGTTAAAAGAAGGGATATTACTAAACGTCCGCAATTAAAATGAATGGTAGTTACTGTATATGTATTTCTTAGGTTTGGTTAAACGTATATATTATTATTATTATCTTAATCTCCAGTTTTAATCCAATTACTAGTGCTGTAAATAAAACTGGGAAGCCGGTGCCTACCCTAGTGAAACTGACTGAGCCGCACAACACATGTAGTCCGTTTAACCGAAGTAGTTATACTAAAATTATTTGATAAGACGATAACAAATGACGACATCACAACAATCGTAAAACACTCTAAATATTAAAATGTGTCCGGAGAATTAATAAAAGAAAGTGAAAGAGAATTAACAACAGTCAAATAACAAAAGCAGAAGCTTCGGTGCAAATTAATTTAGCGCAAATGGTAGCATCGCGCGAAGCGCGAAGCTGACGAAGTTTTTTGTTTTAAAGGCGGGTGAAATTCAGTAAAAATTAATTAATAATATTTATTTAATTTCGGATTATTCGGAGTCTTGATTGCATCCGAACCCGATCCGATCAGGTGCACATAAACTCCGAAACCACTCCGACTCCGAATTTTCTAGATTGAAATCCGTCCAATCCGATCCGAAAATCGGAGTGGGTTCGGAGCGGATCGGATTTCCCAGTCCGTTGCAGGGCTCTAACAGCCAAAGTCCCTAGAACACAATATTGCATGAAGAAGTAAGAATCACGAATCATCACGTCACGTAAACATCACGAAGTGAATAACTATTTTTACCTGCGAAGACGAGGAAAATCAGTGCAGCATTCATTATTGCGAGAGCAGGAAGGCTTCGAAAGACCGGAGAATTAGCGCGGCTTTGGAAAGACAAACCAAGGAATGCAATGAGGTCTCGTCATAATGACCACCGTTTATATACAAAATATTGCGCTTTATCCTTTGCGTTCTCAGCAACAGAATTGAATGCCAAGACCACTTGAAGCCGCCGACAACCAATAATTTCGGCGTATCGCTACAGCTGGCATGCCGACGTTGCAAAGCAGTGCAAGACCGTGAGCACAATTTCAACATGCCTTCTCCTTGCTTCTGGGTAAAACTTTTGTCCAAAGCACCATAAGCACGTGTTTTCGCACATTCCCGGTTTTTCCATACTGGTCAGTTCTGCGTATAGCAGTCGGTGATTCTGGAACATCGCTAACACTGCATTTATTTCAAGAACTACTGAATGTTGGTGCCAGGTTTGCGCAAATTTAAGTTAAAGTCGCAACAAACTAAGCATTTATCAATTGCAAATTCTTAACAAAAAGCACTTCACTTTATTTTGCAATCATAACAACGCCAAGTAAAGCGTAAGTTAATCTGAAAGTAACAAATCTCCATTTTCGCAGACCCGGTGTTACCCGGACTGAACCTACAGATACGCTACCTAGACTTGTAGGTTTTGATTTACGGTTTTGATAAGCCTTTAACGTCGTCCACCTTACATTAGGCTCATCAGAAACTGACCAAAATTCTGCAGTTTTGATTAGATAGCATTTTCAGTCTGTCACAACCGTTATATTTGTCTCCTTGAAGCAATTTTACATCTGCAGGAGTATTCATTAAATACTACAGATCTGTATTTAATGAATACTCCTGCAAATTGTTTGCTTGTGTTATGTTTACGTTTGCTTGTGTCGGTACATCACATCAGAATGTGACCTTAACCAGTATTAATTTACGATGTTATGATGTCTGAAAAACTATAACACCGGATCTGCGAAAACAGGATATTCCTTTTTACGGCACCCGGCATTTTGCTGTACTGAACACGCTGCTGATTAGCGCGACACTGCTGTGGACACCGTCACATGTGGCGTATATTTTAGCCATGTCGGGAAGATACTTTAATTTCACTTTATTGAATGTTACCGGCTTCTTTTTTGACGTGGATTGCACCATCAGTTCGCTGTTGTGCTTGCTGGCATCAAAAGACTGGCGCAATGCGATGGCGAGGATTTGGAGATCACTGCGTGCTGGTTTCAGCCGCAAGTAATTAATGCGATATTAAGAGACAAGCGTTGGACATTCCAAAACGCCATTATGGCTTACACAGATTCTCATGCTATTATTGCTAGACACTGCACTGATGCCGTCCAACGAAATACATTTTGAAGTGCTGTGACGCGCGAGATCACAAGCAACTGGCACGCGTCGCGCGCCGCAAGTGGAAGACGTTTTCAATTGTTAAAATTCGAAATGCACTCAAATCGTGGAAATCGCGTATTCTATGTGTAATGAAAGCTAACGGCTATCAATACGAACACATTTGGAAGCAAAATTGTAATTAGCTTAATTGCAATAAAATGCTAATCAAGTGTCTTCAACTTGGCTGCCGCGCACTGTATTTCGTAAGATTGTTTTTTGTAGCGGCTATGTATGCACCATGCAACACCTCAGGTCCTCAGCGTACGATGTTTTTTGTCTTGCAAGTATCTAATGTGCACTTAAGTTTTATAATTTAATGAACGCTTATACGTTTACACTTAAACCACATAACTGTGACATGTCACAGTTATGTGGTTACATATTATTACGGTCTAGTGAAGGATGCTGTAATGCAATATGTAATTTTCTGGCTGCACTAATTTATTGCGTGTAAACAACGGTGACTTCTATTAAAAATCTACTAAATAGCCTGGAATAAGCAGATTATTTAGCAGGATAATATTGGTGAGTGTCACTGAGTGATGATGTACTTAAGTAGTCTTCGGATTACTGATACCAGTTTCGTGCAGCAGAAATATCAGGCATTTTTATTGTAAATAATTTGCTATTACAAAATATTCGAGCACTATATATAATTAAATTGTCTTATTTTCTACGGTTCCGTGTGTGAAGATTTCCTGTGCAGACGATGTACAGGAGAAAACACGATGGTACGAGCGGTTAATTGCTAACTCACCATCAGTTAATTATTTTTCGCGAAATCGGACTGCGTCTGCGGAAGTACCGTGTCTGCGCTGACAACGTCAGTACACTGCGTAGCAGAAACAAGCTATCATATCATGCGGACATGGATACAGTTGCATCCGGTTTTTTTGCGACGTAAACGAATTTTCTCATGTGACGACACACGATTGCCCGGGAGATGCCCAATCCCCAACGGAAACCGCGAAACGTACCGGTGATGTGCAGGGAAAGACGTTATGACCTAAGATTACTAGTGACGGAATAAAGTATGGTGCACGGCAGCGGCTTAGTACAGTACGTTTTGCATCAGTACTCGTACATGTTTGTACTTTCTAGCATTTTCCTTTTTGTCTTCGAATATAGTTTTGGTTTTTCTAACCGGATGCGCTTCGCGCCTATATTAGTCCGAGAGTGAAGTATTTTTGGCATCAGTTCGTTCTCATTCTGAGTTTGGCAGTAGTGTTGGAGTTTTCGAATAAAATCTATCGTCTGAATGCAGTCGATTCTCGCTTCGCGTAGATCGTAGCGTATGCATACGAAGTATTATTATTTTAGCTATGCCACATTGAGATTATCAGCTCATTCCTGTCGTTGAGTCAGGTCGGTAGGATTGATATTTCGGTATTATTCTATCGTACTCGTCTCTCCGTCACTCGCTTGCTGTTGCAAGCGATCTTCCATAATCTGCCGATGCAATGCATTACCGATGGGCATACAGCTTTTGCCTTTTTAATTCCCGCATCACACGAGCAGAAAAACAAGATGATGGTGGCAATACAATGGACAACAACCCAATACGAAATACGTAGTAATGAGACAAAGCCACAATACGTAGTAATAAGACAAAGTAAAAACCACTGATTTCGTGAGAAAGAGCGGTTAGAAAAGGTGGACTACAGGAGGCCAGCGCAGGCTGCAAAAAATGTTGACAGTGCTGTTCAGGTCAGTTCCCATGGGGTTGGATGAATCTTCTCGCTCAAGGCAGCCGTAGTGATTGTGGTCAGTTTGTTGACATCCAAATCGCCTACATTGGATAACCTCCACTTCCGCCTGTGGTAATGCGTGGACCGACGGGGATCGACACTCTGGTAGCTGTACAGCTCCTACAACGCAAAAAAAGGGGAATTTCGCCAGTCGGCCTGCAGTTTTAATTACAGAAATCAATCAACAGCGGGCAACACAGTCACACTGCATAGATCACCAGCGATGGATTAAAGACAACTTGCGTTAAAACGACACCTTTTTTGCCCTAGATACATGGGTATTACACGCCAGCAAGTGCGTGCCACCCAAATTCGGATCACATTTGACGTGATATAGCAGTACTGTAGCGAAGTGTACGTAAAGTGACGGCTTTGCTCGTACTTTCTATTATTCGCTGTACATTCTCGATTGTTTTCTTGTGTGTTCGGATCTACTTTTGGTTTGGTTTCTACACGGATGCGCCGTGTCTATATAAGTCCGTGAGTGGCAGTATTTTACAGGATCAGTTCTCTCATTACGAGTTTGGCAGTTTCGGAGTTAATAATTAAATTATCGTCGGAGATGCAGTTCTCGCTTCGCGTAGATTCGTAGGCTTAGCTATGCCACATTCAGATACCAGCTCATTCTCTGTCGTTGAGTTAGGTCGGTAGGATAGATTATTGCGGTAATTATTCCTATCGTACTGATCTCTCCGTCACATTCACACTGTTACAGAGAATTTGAGAGAAATTAGCAAAATTTATTACCTGGAAAATATTATTTTCGATGTACCGAATTGGTTTGTGAGCAACACAATCCGCAATCCATGCGGTTAACGCCGGCCGATCCAACGGTTTCCGAAGAAGCAGGCTGCTCTCGAAAAGATCCCACATCTGCGCCGTAATCTTCTTCTTGTTCAGTTTCAGCAACGCGATATTGAACGTATGTTCTATACAAGTTTGTAACTTATCGGCACTAACACGACAACGCTTCCACAAGATTTTTCTGTACGTCGAGGAAAATTCCAAGACCAGGTCCGCCATGAGCCCGGTCATCCTCGCAATACAATCAACTGTCCCACCGAAATCGACCTTGTACAACACCAGCGTCGACACCAGGTTGGAAGTACTGCGCACGCCATTGATCAGTGCGGACAAGTCCGCTCCGCAGCCGTACCAATCCACCTGAATCAGGGCGACTATTTGGGTAACGCGACTGGGACACTTCAGTAAGCACGCCAGCAACCAGTGCATAGTGTTCGATTGTTCATCATATTCCCCGTGCCGGCCGGAGACGCGCACATCCGGGAAATACGCCAGGGTGGTCAGGAGGGTGTTCCACACTGCACACACACGACGGCAACGGACGCGGCCGATGGAGTCCAGTGCCTGGAAAATCTCCACCAGCAGCTCAGCCGGCAACGCCAAACTCACATCAGTACCATCAGCTTCGCTATCCGCAGCCGTTAGTTGTGTTCTACACGCGATAACCATTTTTTGACGTAGTAAGAGTCGGGATGGTCCTGAAAGCCAGCCGCTCTCCAGCTTTGCCCGCGAGCTAGTGTACGTTACATCCTGCAAGCATGTAAATCGAATTCCATCTCGAATCCCCAAATACTTTTCAAATCTTTTTTGGGGCATTCTGTAGCTAGATGATTTGTACACGTACATGGACGTAAAAACCGTTTGTGCGCGCAACATTCGGTTCGGGAGTTATGGCTGTAAGCAAATTCCGAATAGCATAAATGCATTCACGTGTCCAAAAGTCTCATTGTGCAAGTGCAATCTTCAAATTTTGCACACTAATACACGTAGGTAAGTACGAAGGTACGTGTTTTTACACCGAACCAGAGTTGCAACGGTGTTTTCATTCGTTCAAATAATTTTTAAAATGTTTATAATTCATTTTAAAAATCGGAAAAAAATTAAACAATCGTGGTTCGGTGAAAAAACGATTTCCTTGTTTGTGTGCGTCTACGTGCAAAATTTGAAGGAAATCGGCCTATAATGAGAAATTTTATACACCTGTAGTCCTGTCCTGAACACATTTAAGCTGTACATTTATGCACCTGAATACATTTATACAACATTTAAATTTAAACTTTTTGGAATTTTCTTTCAGTCATAACTCCCGGAATCGAATGTAGCGCACACGAACGCTTTTCAGGCTAATATAATCATCTGGCTACAGAATGTCATAAAATAAAACAAAAAAGTGTTTAGGAGTGCGCGAACGCTTAAGTTTTCGGTGCATGTATACGAATTGGGTATCATGTACCGGATCACTTTCTTAAGATTGATTGATCTGTGTCGGTTCATCGAGGTACAGTACTATACTCGTATGTCTACTGTCTAGAGTAGCTAGCTAGCTTAATAAACATAAGCACTAAACAGTCTTAGTTTGTCAAGTCTTCTTGGATTATTTAGGTTTTCTTTTGTTGCTTAGATTTCTTAGTTTTCTTCGGTTTCCTAAATTTTTCAAGTGTCTTAGTTTTTTTCTTAGTTAATTGTTGCAGTGCACAGCAAATTACAAACCACGTGCTCGGCTGTCAGAGGAGCGGCGGTCTGACACTGCAGATAGTGTAGGGTGTGGATGAGCAGGGTGGTGCACAAGACTTGATGTCGTTGGCTCATTTCGCACTGGAAGATCTCCCGCAGCAGTGGCGTCCCGTCTGCCCAAAAAGTGGTAGGTAGCGGACAGCCCCGGATAACAAAATCGCCCGGCCCCACGCGCCGCCCCCGCAACTCCTCGTACGTGGGCGCTAGGCGCACTTGATCGTAAGACACCAGCTCCCTAGCCGTGCCGTAGGGTAGCTGCACTTCCACGTACTCAACATCAGTATAGGACTGCAGACCCAGAGGGACGACTCTTCCCGAATACCATATCCAGGGACTGTCGGGATGGCAGCGCAGCAGGACCTGCACGGTTCCTTTCCACGAATACTTGGAGAGACAGCAGAAGATGCGCCCGTACTGAACAAACTGCGAGCGCTGTGTGACACATTCGAAATCAATTATCAGGCCCCCCTCCGCCAGGCTGATCACTTTGCCGTGCTGCAGGCGGCCGTCGACGATGACGTCCACGGCGTTCCATGCAGATACAGCGTCCCGATAAATAAGCATGGTGCATTCATTCGTGCTCACAGTTCACTGTTTAGTGTTTACTGATTACAATCAAATTACAGACACAAATCCATGCGTGTGCTTGCTGTTGATGCATTCAGGGAAGGACTGTTGCTTCATCTAGAGTAATGATTTTGGTTGGCAGCAAACGCAACTATGTGCGGTACGCACACATCCCAAGCGAAAAGATACTGTAATTTACGAATACAGTCCTAGAGTTTCGTTAATACAATCCTAGAGTATTCATAGAGAAACGAATATTATGATAGTCAAAAATGATATTGAAAATGACATTCAAAAATGATATTCAAAAATGATAGAGAAACGAATATTATGATAGTCAATTCAATCCTAAAAGTCTGTACATATGCGTTTTTCTAAAAAGCGAAGTGTAACAAATGTGCCGAAATACTACCTTGATAGCACTGAAATCGAACACCGCGCCGTATCCAAATATTTAGGTCTATTTGTAGACAGGAAGTTGCGATGGAGTGAGCATACGGATAATATCTGTATCAAAGTTCGAAAACGCATAGGCTATATATAGGTACTGTAGCCGCCCGCACAAGTTGCCCCACAGAGTGAGGTATACGGATGTTTGGCCTCACATTGCTCGCTGTTCAGCGCAGTGTGTGCAGGGAGAAGGCAGCGGCCGGATCTGCCAATGGAGCAACTTGTGCGGGCGGCTACAGTATTCGATTTTCGATCGTTATGATTCAGCGGCGTTAATATGTTTGTTTAAAAGTCTTGTTTTGCCTCTTTTTGACTACTGTAGTCCCGTTGTTCGACCAAATTTGAAAACCCGTAGAGATGCTCTTGAGAAATGCGTTTCAAAGTTTCTAAAACGTTTACGATTAGGCAGCGCAAGTGAGGACTACCACGGTCGTTTGCGAGAATGCGGTTTGGACTCTGTAGAATTAAGACGTTTGAAGCATTCCCTTATTCTGATGTATAAATTATGGTTTGGTATGATACCTTTTGGAGAATGCTTTTTTGTACGATATGAGCCCGTTACTGCCGCAAATTCTATTGCAGGAAATACACGACAAGCACTGCGTATGGCCCGTCATCCGTATCCAGTGGAAGCAGCATCCACTACATTCTGTGGAACAACTTTTGCGGCAAGTGAAGAATCGTTTGCAAGCTGTATGGCCAAGTTGTGGAACGAACTAGAGTTGGAAGCATCATCGTACCGTTCTGTACTGTCATTCCAAAAAGCGCTTGACGAAATCCAGTGGAGAGAAGTTTCGTGGATTAAAGATCATTTCGCTACTGACTTTTTGCGTGTCATTTGATGATCGTTGTAGTACTCATTAAGTGATTGTTATATATATGCTTAAAATTTAATGTTATCTAAATTTCCCTGTGCTGTTATTTTTTTTGTTTATTGTCTGTAGATCTTGAGTAGGAGTGATTCCTTGTATCTATAGACGTTAAGCATTAAAAACCTAAAAAACCTAAACCTAATGGAAAATCACAACGTGCTCACTGTTATGAAATACTATGTATCAATGGCAAAGCCCTACGCAACTGCAAGGGGTGAGAGTTACGTTGCCACTTGCTTTGGAGGCGTTCGACGGTACGGTATTCCATAATCCACCGGTACCGGTACCGGCGGTACGGTATGATGGTATGATTGGTATCTCATAATTTTTGTTTTCTTTTTGTACGTTTGCGCAAAACTCATTAATTTTTGTTTTCTTCAAATCTACCATTTTTATAAAAATTTATATACTTCTATTCAGAGTTATGGAAGCAGTTAAATTTTGCGTAGAATATTGTGAATGCGAGTGCGAGGAAATGTGAATTTTGAAAATATTTTTATTTTTATTCATTCCTTTTACAACTCCATAAACGACGAGCAGTTAAGTAGAATCATAATCAATAATCAACGCTCAGTTCTGGTTAGGAAAAAACACACAAAGTATACAGTCTGTAATCTTGATGTTCGTTCGAATAAAACAAAAAATCGTTCAGTTGATAACCGTAGTCTCTATTTAGAATAACCAGACTCAGGTTACCTTTAATAAACCATGACCTTAGTACCTTAGAACATGACACGTATTGACGGTATTGTACAGTGCACAGAGTACTGTATTTGAAATTCGCACGTAAGACAAAACAAAATGATAGAATTAACGTGGTTTTGGGAGTTTGCTTTAATGAAGAGTAATTCTCTGTGTAGTTAACATTGTAATTGTAGCTTCTTATATACTCAGTAAAACAGTCAGATTGACTAAACTTCTGAGTAACAACTTCGCCTTTAAGGCCGGTGTATGACAAAGGGGCTGGGTGCCAACATGAGTAACAGACATTAGTAACGGTTACACTCATTTATTCTAACACCCCCCTTCACCCAGTCCGCGGTCATTCAGTCCATGCATCCCGATCAGTCCGGTGATGAACTTGACCTTGATCCCTCCAAGCGCCTTCGTTAGCATGTCCGCTGGATTTTGATCCGTGGGAATGTAGTTCACTTCGATGGTCCCGGCCTGTGCCTCCTGGCGGATCCGGTGGTAGCGTATTCCGACATGCTTCGATCGCTTATGGAATTCCGGATTCTTTGACAACGCAATCGCTCCTTGGTTGTCCACGTACATCTCGGTGGCTTTCGTCATGTCCACTACCGTCGTCGTACGTTGCCGGCTGGTCCATATATATGACTTTATCCAAGTCACCGTTCACAAATGCAGTCTTCACGTCAAACTGCACCATTTCCAGGTTGCGTGCAGCAGCCACCGCTAACACACAGCGCACCAATTCGTGTCGTACGACGGGGGCAAAGGTTTCGCCATAGTCAATGCCTTGCGCTTGTGAGTAGCCGCATGCCACAAGCCGTGCTTTCCGCTTATCCAGCTCGCCATCTGGAAGTAGTTTCGATTTAAAAACCCACTTACACTTCACAGTGCGCCGGTCTGCTGGTAGCTGTTCCAAAGTCCAAGTGCCCGTTTTATGCAGCGCTTCAAGCTCAGCATCCATTGCTTGCTTCCACAGGTGCCCGTCTGCTCTCGACAGCGCATCCTGGACATCAACTGGATCTGCGGCCGTGGCCATTGCGCTCAACGCAGCTCCCTTGGCTCTGGTTTCCATGGGATGCGGAAGAGGCGGATCCTTCACCAGATTCTTCGATCCCGGTGGTCGCCCTGGCCGTCGCTTCTCAACTGCTGCCTTTTCTACAGCAATCTCGCTTCCCGGCTCATCCTCCGCATCTTCCCACTCTTCATCATCATCCCGCTCGTTCTCATCCCCCCTTGAGGCAGGATACCGTAGAGCAACTTCGGGAATCTCGTCGCCACCATCTGCGACAACCACATCTCCAACCCGCTCCACCTTTTTCGTTTCCCGGTTGAACACCCGGAGCACTTTTGTGGTATCCCAATCGTAACCTACAAACAGTGTTTTTACCGACTTGGGATCCAGCTTCCGTCTCTGATCCTCCGGAACTTTCACGTAGGCAGTTGATCCGAACACCCGCAGGTGGTCAACTGTTGGCTTCCGGCGGTGCCACAATTCATACGGAGTGATTTCCAGCTTTCCCCGATTTGGCACAATGTTCCGTAGGTAGGCGGCGGTTGAGATGGCTTCACTCCATAGGAGATTTCTCTCACTTTTTGTGATGTCCGCATCGTAGAGCAGCGTTCGCGCACTGTCACAGAGCGTGCAGTTTTCCCGTTCTGCCATGCCGTTTGCTTGCTTCACGTAAGCCGGACTTCTTTCGTGCTTTATCCCTCTGTTCTGAAACAGCGTTTCAACCTCCTGGTTGATGTATTCAGTCCCGTTGTCCGTGCGAATCGACAACACCTTTCTACCAGTTTCCCTTTCTGCTGTGATAATCAGCTCTTTGAATGCATTACCCACAGAGTGCTTACTTGGTAGAGTTCGAACCATTCTGTATCCGCTGCTTTCATCTTTGAACGCTAAGAGATACCGATGTCCTTCCCAGGAGTCGGCGCCCATATGACACACATCACTATGAAACCGCTCACCTGGTAGGCACTCCCTTCCAGCACTGCTGTCATGGGTGTTAGCCGTTTGCTTTCCCATATGACACGCTTCACAGTCACCGCGCTTCGAGGTCACCACCTCCAGGCCGCCCACCACCTTGTTGCGGACCATGGAGCCGACCAATGCGTCGCTGACGTGTCCAAGCCGCTGGTGCCAAATTCCCACAGGCTGCGCCTTCAGCGCATCTCCACTTGGCGGCACCACACGTATGAAAGGTCGGTACGTTGCACCGTCACCTCGCACTCCACCGAGGAACGCCTTGCCATCTTTGCTGATTGTCATCTTTCCTTTAGCGTGGGAAAATGCGAATCCCTTTCGCTCCAATGTCACCGTGGACAGCAGCGTAGTGTCGCATGCATCAGGTGCATAGTACACATTTTTCCATTCCGCTTCCCGCCACTGCTTTCCGTCGACGGACATCTCGATGTCGATCGTGCCAATATGGGTGGCCTGGATACTCGCGTTGTTGCCAACCACGAACGGCTTGGGAACATCTAGCTTAACTAGAGTTTTAAACCAGGTGTACTTATTCGTGATATGGTCACTTGCCCCACTATCAGCAATGATCGCATCCGTATTTCCGGCCACATGCATAGCTGAAACCATTAAGGATTCCTTCCTGTAACCGTGACCGGACATGTCCTGTCGCTTGTTGGTGCCTGGATCCCCTTTCCGCTTTGACCAACAATCTGCTTCTTTGTGGCCCGCTTTGCCGCAGTTGTGGCAGCTTCCGGTGAACTTCTTCTTCGCTCCAGTTGGTAGCCGCTTACCTTTTGCGTACAGCGACTCACCAGCTGGACTGGACCCGCTTCCTTCTCCCTGTCCCTTCATCATCTTTTCCGCTAGGAGCAGCTTCTCCCGGAACTTGGACATCTCAGGATTAGGACCGGCCATCATGTTCCACGACGAAACAAATGAGGCGTACTGTTTGGGCAAGCTGGCCAGCGTCTTACCGATCAACCAGGTGTCGGTAACCTTTTCCGGCTTCCCGCACGCGTCTATCTTTGCCGCTAGAACATACAATGATGCCATGAATGTATTTGCGTCGTCTACCTCCTTCCACTTGACTTCGAAAAATTCGGTCATCGCCGACATCAAGTCGTTGTCAGTCTTCGGCTCTTTCAGCTCCTGGATCCTCTTCAGAATCTCAGCGGACGTCTTGCAGTCCCGACACTGACTGAAGGTGGTATCATCCACAGTCGCACGCAATATACTTCTGGCTTTTCCATCGGCAGCTATCCACTTCAGGTGGTGCTCATGCGCCGCTTTATCCGTTGCCGAATCTAGGGGCATCGTCAATGTCCCATTCACAACAGACCACAAAGACTCACCAGTCAACACATCCTCCACCTGTACCCGCCATCGCGAGTAATTGGAGTCGTTCAACTCGGTGACCTTAATACTCTTCAACTGCGCCATTGTAGTATCCACACAACAATGATAAAACAACCTCAACACTGCTTAGAGACAAGCAGGTCTCATAATCTGATAGAATTAACGTGGTTTTGGGAGTTTGCTTT